ATTGACTATGAAAATGATTATTATGACTCAAATTGTGGTAAGCTCTTTTCCGTTAAGAATTTATCAATAAAAATTTACATGTGTATCAGAATGAATACGTATGTCTCACCAAACACTGTGTAGTACTTATTGGCAGTCCCAGCTTGCTAGCAATCAGTGTCGTCATGGCTGCACCAAATTCGATTGTGAAGCCGCTAAATGACAGAAATATTTGGCGCTATCGAATCCAAAATACCCTTAATATTCACATTCACCAAAATGTGGAAAACAACAAGTTCGCAAGTAGAGCTCAAGAGCGAGAATTGAAGTAGATGCAGAACGGAGTAAAACAAATAAGAGGGAAGGTTTCCAAACAACTCGATCACAAAATACTGAATGAATTGCAAATTCTTCCAAATGGGAGAGACGTCTCTTGGCAACCTGTAGACCATGCTTTACTAGCGATACCATGAAGACCCTCGATGAACCGGCTCTAATATTTATCAATGTTGTCGATAACGGAATCTCCCCATGAATTCGCGAAGGAAACCAAGTGTTCCCTTTTTGCGATGGTCTTGGATCTCTCCTCTCTGAACTTCGCATTTCTATCCCACGCATTGTGAAACGTAGTCTAGCGCGGAGACTCGATGTTTTGACACCGCGCAGAGACTCGGAAGGACAGCGACTTCACCCAAGCGAAGCTATCGATGGGAGATGACGTGGTCTGTATCGTTCCAAACAACCGCGGATGGTGTGAATCTGAGTCTGAAACACGGACAATGCAGAAGCTAGGAAGAAAAAGCCCAGTGCGAAAACGTCGTCGTGACCCTAGACGCCGAGTGTGGAAAGGAATTAAACCCAAAATAACTAGGCTTTTTGAATAAACTGGAGCAGAGCGCACTGAGTCAATCGTGCCCTACTAAGAGATTGATTGATATGTAAAATAGAGTGAGTTTCAGTCAATCGTTAGCTTCGCTGAATTTCGTCGATTTGACCCCTTATCGGACGACATAATGATCGGAAATGTAGAGCAAGAAGAACGAGTGCTGGCCAAATTCTATACCCGATAATCGAAGGTGTAGTTTCGAGGACAAACTTGATATTATACACGCTATCTTCCCGACACTGCTGTTCTTCGTGCTTCGACGTACTCCTCGGAAACTCGGACTATTTGAAAGCAGGAAGATGCAGTCAACGTCACCCAGTGCACTGGAAAAGGACGATGCTGAGAACTTCCTCACACACGCAAGTGCAGAAGGGAATTCGGAGTTCGAAGTCTGTCAATGGACGAAGATCAGGAATGTTGCTGCAGGCGCCAAGACATCGAAGATGGAGCATGTTGCAGGTGCCATGTTTCTATATACACTAGTGATCGATATTCATAAAACCATGGGCGTGACACCAGTATTTGTCTTATTTTTCTGGCAACTGTTTTTGTTTGCTTCACGAACAATAAAATCATGTTCAGGGGTTTAAAGAACAAAATTTTGGAGTGGCCTCTTCTGCTCAATCCATGGATTTGCTTGTAAATAAAACTTGCTTAGAGAAACTNGATGGAGCATGTTGCAGGTGCCATGTTTCTATATACACCAGTGATCGATGTTCATAAAACCATGGGCGTGACACCAGTATTTGTCTTATTTTTGCTGGCAACTGTTTTTGTTTGCTTCACGAACTATAAAATCATGTTCAGGGGTTATAATTGGCCTGTTTAAAGAACAAAATTTTGGAGTGGCCTCTTCTGCTCAATCCATGGATTTGCTTGTAAATAAAACTTGCTTAGAGAAACTGACCTGGCTGGATTGATGTGAGACACTCGACTCCCGACCGTACTGATAATGCGATAGCCAAATGTCCACAGACCAAAGCAAATAGCCAGCATGCCGAACAATAGCACGTAAATTGGCACCTTAAACAACATACCAGGTCAAACAAGATATGGGAGAGTTTTATAGTAATGTCAACGTGCAAAAACAGAAGGACGTGATGATTCACGGCAGTGAATGCTGGTCCGCAGGTAGGAATCATGAAAGATAGCTTCACTCCGCTGAGATGAGGATGCTCAGATGGGCCTGCGGGTGGACGCGAGTGGTTCGGATCAGAAACGAGGACGTCAGAGCGGTCATACAAGTAACCCCTGTACAGTCAAAGATGAGAGTACAGCGCCTGCGATGGTACGGGCACGTAATGAGAAGACCACCGAATCATCCAATAAAGGAGGCAATACAGTTCGAGGCACAAGGAAAGCCACCGCGAGGAGCTCTAAAGAAGATATGGCATGACGTGATCAAGTTGGACCTCGTCGATGCTAAGGTAACGACAGAAGATGCTGCAGATAGGAGGAAATGGAGGCGGCTGAAAATAACAGCGGTCTCTGCGATGGCGCGGGATTAACGCTAGGGAGAAGAAGAAGAGGAAACCAAAATGAGTACTCTTGTGGCAGAGTGCGCTTGTGGAGAAAGGTCACTTTCGCAGGTGTATTGCTGCGTTTTTTGTTCCCACCTTTTCTGGTCAATTGATCGATTGTTCTCTGGCGACACTTCTAGTGGCTTGGATATTTGATCTTTGATATGGATGACCACCTCATTAGATGTGATATGAACCCCGTTAGTAAGATACTTAACGGTACTCCACTGTTGCCTTGTAAAGTTCAGGATGGACTCAAAAGGAGGCGTTTGGAAATCGAGTCTTCCCTAACGGACCTCGCTCGACCCGCAGACCAACTCACCAAAGACGAAAGTATTCCACTTCATGTGCGGACAATTTACGCTTTTTTGATAGAGGGTAAAAAAGAATCGGACCTAGTCAGTCGAAGGAATTATGAGTTATCAAGTAGATTCGTTTTCATGTCCAAGAAATTAAATCTCTTAATGAGAAGAATTTTGCTTTGCGTAAGGCTCTTGGTAATCTCAAAAATTCTTTCTCAAACGTTACTGTTTCTGATGAATCTCATCGTTGTTGCCATGTGATGAAATCGAGCGAAGAAGGTCTACTGTAGTAATTGGCGTACCGGAATGTCGTAGTCAAAAATGCTCTGATAATGTTGCTCACGAATGTGTCTGCCTTCTTCAGTTATTCG